ACTCACTATACCTCCAGACCTAACTGTATATGTTCCAAAGCAAAATACATCAAATAATTTACTTTAATTTTAAATTAAAATTCTAATCTGAATAAAGTCACTATTTCAAAATACTGGTGTTGAGCAGTGCATTATATCACAAGGTCTCATCGATGGTATAATAAGAATGATGTGGGGTAAATTATTACACACACACACACACACACACACACACACACACACACACACACACACACACACACACTTAAAAACAAATAGGCAGCTACGTTCATCATTTCCATAGTGCTCTAGGTTCATACTGTGTTTGCTCCGAATGCAAAACATAGTAAACAAAAGCCCCACTAAACTTATTGTTGTGTTGTCTGTCCTTTTGTGTGATCTATACTTTTAGTTCCTCCTCTAAAAACATTTTGGTTAACCTTAAAAAAGGTTAATGTTAATATTCATCTTCACATTCATTACATCCGATATTGAAAATATCAATTCAAATGGATATCAAGTCTAGGGCTATTTCACTCTATGTAATCATCTGATATGACTGTCATTGATAGGCTACAGTCTGGGCTAGAAAGAAATCAGTCCCAGGCTCACTTGTTCTTACCATTCTGTGTATTTTTCTTACCGCTATTGATAGTGCTTTTGCACTGGGTTCCACAAAAGTCCAAAATAATCTGCCTTAAAACATTTGTTAACAGCAAATGATCTGCCAGAAAATGAAACAGTATATTGACGGGGTGAAACACTTATCAGCAAGTAGAGAGATAGGTAGTGCAGTGGCACTTGGGAACAAAATGTGAAAGTAGAGAAATTCACATTAGAGTAATTTTGAAAATATGAAAATGTCATGGTTGCTGCAGTTTCCATGGTTACTACCGGTGATTATTTACTTTATTAAAACCTTTATTAGATGAATACAGAAACCAGAAACCTTTTTTCCAGAGATGGTTTTATCTGAACCATTCAGACTGTGCGTTTGTTGTTTTCATGTCTGTTTTTTCCCCCCTGTTTTATTTGATATTATATTTTCATCATTTGTATAAGGTGTGTTGATTTATAAAAGGCATTGGTTATATTTGAGCCTCCTTTTTTTCAGAATCACGTCTTCTAATGGAGTCAGCAGAGGTCAGTGCTCTATTTTCTCCATAATAACTATCTAAAATGCGAGAAGACTATCACTAAATAGTGGCCACAGCCTTTGCTTGTGGTCTCTCACCACCCACATGTCCTGTGGGATCTCCTTACCTATACACATGTTTAGCACCATAGACGTAATGGCATATCGCACCACTTGAACTTTGAATTAGAACAATGGGAAGACATCCATTTAAATCATAATTCAGGTTTCTTTTGGCTTCTTTTGTTTAATTTGGATTTTCATTTGATTCGATTAGTCTTTTTTTTTTTTAAATAGTCGACAAATAGTTCTATTATAAAACAAATAATGTTTGTGCTTTCTCTTTGTTCTTTGGCCTTTAGCTTTGTGAGAATATGAAAACTGAGTTTTGCATGACTTCAGATGGGGGGACATCAGACTGTGTGAGATTTGTTATCCCTATCCCTGTGGATCAACAGAAGCCTGTAAAAAAAGAAGAACCTGAAGATGAAGGCTATGTCTGTAAGATGACAACAGAGTCCCAAGTGTGACTCAGTAACCTCTTTTAATTTAACCATGCTTACTTTGTAACAGTAACGCTCACTTGTTTGGGGTTTGTGGACTTTTAGATGGAGATCCATCAAGCCCTGTGGAATGTATCTTCACTACTGACCAACAGACTGGAGGATTCCAGAGGAGACCAATAAAAGAGGAAGAACCTGAAGATGATGAGTTCCTCTGTAAGACATCGTTGTGGAGTTGAATATGATCAAGCAGCCTAAATTGTGATTATTATTCCAACAATAATAACATTCTTATGTAAGACTTGTAAGACTTTGTTTATAAGAAATTTGTCATGGTCGTCTGTTTTTCACTAATCATGCTGGTTTCCTTTTTTCCCCCACTTTGCTCACATTCTCTTTCCCCACACATTTCAGTAGCTGCACCCAAATATTAAATACTACTTGTAAGCTTCTTCTGTCTAAGTGTGGCTTAAGAACTCCAGAAGTCCACATCTCACATCTGCCCACATGGGGTGCCGTGATCACTCGTTATTGATGGAAATACCTGGCCTTAACTCTTGTTGTATTCTAAAATTGTGTTTATTTGGACTCAGGAATTTCCTTTGTTGTGTCTTTCTCATTCCAGATTGTGAGGAATGCAGATCCTACTTCATCAACAAATGTGAGGTTCACGGTCCAGCTCTTTTCATCTCTGATACCCCTGTTCCTCTGGGGATTGCTGACCGAGCAATACAAACCCTCCCGCCCGGTCTAGAGGTTGGAAAGTCTGACATTCCTGATGCAGGCCTTGGGGTGTTTAATAAGGGGGAGACTATTCCACTTGGTGCACACTTTGGGCCCTATGAGGGAGACCTGGTGGACAGAGAGGAAGCCATGAATAGTGGCTATTCTTGGGTGGTGAGTTAGTTTCTTAATACATATTTCCTAATATTAATAATAAATGTACAGTTGTATGCAACTGAGGCCAGATTACATATTTTATTATTTTTGACATGAAATGAAGTAAACACAACTTAAAAAAATAGAAAAGGATTTGAGGCATGTGCAAATGTTTGGACACCCTTTCAGTCTCAGAACTTTTTTTTTTTAACTTGTTAAGCCTTAATAGACTCATTACGACTAGCCAAGAATTGTCATAAGGAATACCAGTTACAGAGTGTAATAAATTCTCGGACCTTGTGTTGGCACGCAACAACCATTCCTCCTCTAAGCAGGTGACTGAAGATCTGAAAATAAAGCTAATTGATGACTACAAAGCAGGGGAAGGCTATACGAAGACATCAAAATGTTTCCAGCTCACGATTTCGACTGTCTGAAATGTCATTAAGGGGAGCTTTGGAAGTCAAGGCAACATCTGGAAGACCAATTCAGTTCAATTCAATTTTATTTGTATAGCGCTTTTACCAATGAACATTGTCTCAAAAACCAAGAAAACTTTCAAATAAAACTGCCCATATGCTGAACAGAATGGCAAAGCAAAACTGTGCAGTGTTGCTTGCACAAATGTCTGCATGGAAGAGTCATCAGAAGGAAACCTTACCTGCAACCCCAACATAAAAGTAAATGTCTGATGTATGCAAAACAATGGTTAGATAAGCAAGTGCTGCGGACTGATGACATGAAAATTGAACTCTTTGGCCAGAATCACAAATGGTATGTTTGGGGAAAAAAGGAGTGGCATTTGATGAAAAGAACACCTTGTCACCTGTTAAGCATGGGAGTGAATATGTTAAGCTTTGGGGTTATGTGGCAGCCAGAGGCACAGGAAACATTGCACAGGTGGATGGAAAAACGGATTCCAGTAAACATGCACAAATTCTAGAAACAAATGTGACACAGTCACACAACTAAAGGAATTGTCTTTTACAACAGCACAATGATCCAAAACATACCTCAAAATTCACCATGAGCTACTTCAAGAAATGCAAGCTGAAGCTTTTGGAATAGCCCTCACACTCCCCTGACTTCACTGAAAATACATAGGTAGACCTTAAACATGCTGTGCATGCAAGCCAGACCAAGAATATCTCAGAACTAGAAATGTTTTGCAAGGAAGAATGGGTGACTTCATTAAACAAGAATAGAAAGACTCCCAGCTGGCTACAAAAAGGGCTTGCAAGCTGTGATCTCTGCTAAAGTGGGTGTTAAGTACTGACTTAGTAGAGTGTCCAAACATTTGCACATGCCAGAATTACTATGTTATTTCTTCTTATTTTTAAGTTCTTCAAATATAAAATAACAGTGCATTAATATTTGCAGAACATTTTTTATGTTTTAAAATAGTTTGATGCAGAGGGTGTGTGTACTTCATTTCATTTAAAAAAAAATCAACAAAATATGGCCAGGGGTGCCAAACTTTTGCATGCAAGTGTAAACTGTGTTTTTTCAGCCTGGAGGCACAAAAGAACCAAAGGTCTGGGTCGCGTCTTCTCCTCCGGTGACTTGTCCTTATATGATGTTAACCTTATATATAGGACACTTTGAGGAGTGTGATGGATACAAGCAAATCTTTAACAGTAAACGGTACATGACAGCTCCTTTGATGTCCACAAAAACATCGAAAGGACTCTCATACAAAGCATGACTTGGGGTGGCAAACACAACCTGTGTGTCAGCCTAGACGAGGCCATCCACCAAAAGTCAGGCTGTTAGTCAGGAAAGCAACCATAAGGTCAGCGATGATTCTGAAGGAGCATATGAAACCCTGTTTGCAGTTTGCTTAAAGACATTTTGGAGACTCCACAAACATGTGGAAAAAGGTTCTTTGGTCAACATCATCATGTCGAGAGTTACTTTGGCCTCTTGTGTTTCTTCTTTAACTGATGTCCTTCTTACCATTTACACACACACACACAGAAATCTGAATGTTGGTGTACCCTGTGTACTTGTTACTGAGATCCCCTCTGCTGAGCAGCATGGCGAGTTAAGATATTCCTGTTTTAAGTATAGATGGCTCTTTTTGTTTGTATAGGTTATATAACTTCAAAAAAGTGATCCTGGATGTGAAATATGCACAAAAAAGCACATTTAAGTATGGTTGTCTCAAACAACAGACCAGTTTCGCCTTCATACTCTTTAATAGAACTGTATTGTATGGTGTGTTATATTTGTTCTTGTATCCCTCTTTGATTTAATGGGATTTTGTAGTAAGTGCAACTGTCTAGTCTTCCAGTCCTGGGGAGCTCTAACACTACAGGCTTTAGTATTCTGCCTCATTTGCTGTTGTTCTACTTTTGGCTGCTCCTGTCAGGGGTCGCCACAACGGATCATTGGTCCGCATATTTGATTTGGCACAGTTTTTAACGCTGGATGCCCTTCCCTCCACAACCCTCCCCAATTTTATCTGGGCTTGGGACCGGTGCTGGGAGTGCACTGTCGTGTGGTTCCCTGTCTGGGAATCGAACCCTGTCCGTTGCAGTGAGAGCACCATGGCCTATTCACTAGTCCTCCAGGGACCCCAGTAGACTGCCTCATTTAATGTACTTTATTAAGATGATCAACTCATTTATGAAAGACTTTAGAACATAAATTTTTTGGGTGTTCAAACTGATTATAAAGGGCTTTGGCCCTCAAAGACCTGAGTTGTATACCTCTGGGTTTATGTATATAACTCAAATGTATAATATATTATACATTCTTTTGTAGATATCCAGGAGCAGGCAGTGTGAGAAATACATAGATGGCCAGAGAGAGATGCATTCTAACTGGATGAGGTGAGGAATACACTGCAAGGCTGCACTCTGTTGGGTATTTGTTTAGTTGTTGATTTAACAATTCATTAGTGGAAAACATTAGGTTATATCTATAACCACTGTTCCCAGAAGGACAGTAAATGAAGTATAGTACAGATAATATGGAATACCACTCTTTTGCATGTCTGCCTGAAGACACATCTATTCTTGCCTCTAAGTAACATGATGTACCCCTCATCACCACTGTCTTCCCTTAGTGCAGCAGGTTGCTTTTCATCAAGCTATGACTACTGTGTAAATTAACCTAGGCTTATATCTCATTCTTGTCATTCAGCAAACAGTGGATAATCTACATAATCTAACAGTCCCTTTCAGTCAAGTCACTCACTATAACATAGTATGGAATGCATACCCATGCCCCATACATCTGTGTACTCACAGAGAGGCACCAAAGAACATGAAGTGAGCCACAGATGTAGTCAAAATGACCAGCACTGATAGTGCAGACGTATGAGGGGAGGCCCAAGAGGTTGCCAAACAAACCTCTGCCACAGACCTCATCTTGAACAGAGCCCAAGATGCAGTCACCTCTTGTTGAACGCTTTTCTAGGTATTGACTGCTGCCGTATGCTGGGAAAATGGCCTCCACAGTGTAGGGGTAGAATGAACTGTTTGAACGAATTAGCAGAACAGAATGTGAATACAGAATATATGCAGCCTTCCATGCTTCCAGGAATCAAGTGGAGGAGAGGACAAGGACCTAATCCCAAATGGCAGTGAATTCTAGTTTTCAGTTAAACCTTTAGGTAACTTTAGACAGCACTAAGGTGCAGTGTTACCTGAGAATCACTGAGTATCACCTGACCAAGCACACCCTTATGTGCTTGTTGAACATCCTACTGCAGATGTAGCCCCCCCTTTACTGTTATAATAACACTCTTCGGGGATGGTTTTCCACAAGATTTTCAAATGTTGCTGTGGTGATTTGTGCTCATTCAGCCATAAGAGCATTAGTGAAGTCAGGCACTGATGTCAGACGAGGAAGGTTGGCATGTAGTTTGTGTTCTAGTTCATGCCAAAGGTGTTCACTGGGATTGAGGTCATAGCTTTTTACAGGTCACTCAAGTTCTTCCATACCACGCTTGGCAAACCATGTCTTCATGGAGCTTGCACAGGGGCATTGTCATGCTGGAACAGGTTTGGGCTTCTTAGTTCTAGGGCAGAGAAATCTTAAAGCTACAGCATACAAAGACATTCTAGGCAATACTGTGCTTCCAACTTTGTGGCAACAGTTTGGGGAAGAACCACACATGGCTCTGATGGTCAGGTGTCCGCATACTTTTGGCCATGTAGTGTACCGCAACGATTCTCTTCTATTGTTGCTTGCATGAAGATGTATTAACCAACATCACATGTTTGAGAGCAGCCGGTGACAAACACACATGGTCAGATTCCATTATGGCTCTTGTTGCATGGACCATCCTAGTGCCATCCAGGCAGGCATTGTGATGAGGGAACTGACTCAAAGGGAGACATTCTTTCCCCTGCTATGAACTGATCTCTCCCTCTCTCTTACTTCACATTCCTTTACCATCCTTTGTTCAGTGTCGGTCTCTTTATTTTACAGGTATGTGAATTGTGCTCGTAATGAAGAAGAACAGAATCTTATGGCATTCCAGTATCGAGGAGGCATCCTCTACTGTTGCTGTCAACCCATCAAAACCGGACAAGAGCTCTTGATGTGGTACAAAGATGACTATGGCAAAGACCTTGGCCTTGCGTTCGACTGCCTCTGGAAGAAAAAGTGCTCTTCAAATGGTTATGTACAACCCTGATTTATATTAGAATTATCCATTACCCTCAGCTCACAGTGGCTATTATATATGAATACTTCTAACAATGTTTACTCTGACATAGGCAATCCTCAACTTTTAGACCATGCAGTAATATACTCAAAGCTTTGCAAATTGCTCTCAAGCTCTGAATTTTCTGCCTTGCAGAAGATTACTGACCCATGCTGAAACAGGCGCTCTGCTCTCTGATAGGCATTAGGGAGACATTTGGGTTGCCAGTATAGTGATCTTCTGTCAGTCTGTGGGAAGTTAGTAACAAAATTCACTGACAGGTGAGTTCAGGCCCGTAGGATACCAATAGGGGTTCCAGTTTTCCTAGTGGTAGCAGTCTAGGAGTCTTGGACTAAGCACATACACAGAAAAAGACATGACAAATCTTCTATACATTCCATTGGAAACTAGGCCATCAGTAGCAATCTGACAGGCTGGGCTGTTATGGCAACCCATGTAATGAGCTTACCTCTAAATGGTCCTGGGACATGTGCATGTCATAACAGATGTTTAAAAGTGAAGCCAATATGTCTCTGAGGCCCTGTAGTGGCTGGCTGCAGTACAATCTTTAACCTCTCCAATTCCCATTTAAGGGAAAGGAAAACAAGCCAAACTTGCATTTTAAGTTACATGTCCACAAATTATTTCTGGAAGTTCTTTGCGGTTTATCCAGCATGTGATGCTTATACTAGCTTATTAATTAGCTAACTAGTTTGATAACACCGACAAACTGAAACACTATGAGGGGAAGATGAAATATTAGCCTGCTAGCTAGATGTCATAATATTAATGCTGTGTCCACTGCACAAACTCTGGCTCCGATTTTCACCTTCTGCACAGACTCGATCAAGATGGTGACTTTCAATTTGACCAAATTTAGGCTTCAAAACCGCACAATGGGAGTCAATGGCCACATCTTGTCCACTAATATATTCAGTCAATTATTAATACAGAAGAGAAGACATTTCACTGCTTACAACATGTGATGAGTTTTGCTTACCAGAATAATCTCAGAACATGCAAGCACATTTGCACACGAGAGAAGCTGTCACTGCTCATAGTGTGGATGGAGATTCAGTTATTTAAGTCCATTTACGAAACACAAGTGCAACACCACAAAGCAGTCAACTTGTGCCACATTATCTTCAAATCCAGAAATATATATCCTTAAATTCAAATCCAGAAATTAGATATTGTATATCTGAACTACTGTATTATTGTCTGTTTCTGCTTTGACAGGTTGATGGCTCCCCACAGCATTGAATGGTGTATGTATTAGTTCAGGGTGGGGAACAGATATGACCACGATAGTCTCAGTGGCTTTGATCTTTACTGAACTTTAATATTGACTTGCATGATTATGTACTGTGGATGTTTGGACATGGAATTAATGTACTGTGCATTTTCCCATCATCGTCGTTTGCCACGAAATAAATAACGGTTAAAAAATAAATAAATAAATAAAAGTCCTGAATGGCCATTTGATTGAAAACAAAAAGTTGGTCTCTGGCTTTTGCACAGTTCTGTATATATCATGAAGTATTCATACATTTAGTCCGCTGCAAGTGACTGGCCTCCCGTTCTGGGTGTATTCCAGCCGTAGACCCAGTGCTCCCAGAGTAGGATCCAAATCCATTGTAACTCTGACCAGCATAAAGTGGTTACTGAAGATGAATGATTAAATGAATATGTAATCCGTAGGGAGTTATTACTTTTGTATATTGACTTTGAGTAAAAGCCTTTTTTTGCAGTAGCCTAATGTTGCCAACAGTTTGCATTTCAAACTGTTTTCAAAACAAAAGGATTTAACACATAAAAATGTATATAAAAAAATAATTCTACACTTAACAGAAATTGTAACACTTTTACAGACAATCTTGACAGTGGTAAAAATATGTGGCAGTTTCTAAAATAAGTTAAACAGTTTGTTTCTCATTAAGTTACTAATACTTTTTATTTTTTTATGCTCCAGAAATGAATGATGCCCTGCTGCAACTTTTCTACTGCTCCTGGTGTCCGCTTTCCTACACATCTCAGTTTTATCTTGACAATCACATAAGGAGAAGCCACTCTGAGGAAAATGTGAGACTGTTGATATCAAGTGAAATTAAAAATGACAGTGTGATGCCCACAAGAAGATCTACTATTCAGCAAACATGGTCTGATACTCTCCACAATAACATCACTCATGAACAAATGCAGAAAGAACTGTATCACTGCTCAAAATGTGGGAAGGATTTTATTTCTGTCTATAATCTCAGTAAGCACCAGTGTGTCCACACAAGAGAAAAGCCATTTCCCTGCACACAGTGTGGAAAGAGTTTTACCTACCAGCGTAATCTCGGACAGCACCAGCGCATTCACACAGGAGAGAAGCCGTATCACTGCTCGCAGTGTGGGAAGAGTTTTAATAGCGGGAGTAATTACAGACAACACCAGCGCATTCACACAGGAGAGAAGCCGTACCACTGCTCACAGTGTGGGAAGAGTTTTACTAACCAGTGTCATCTCCGACAACATCAGCACATTCACACAGGAGAGAAGCCGTATCACTGCTCACAGTGTGGGAAGAGTTTTAATCAGCAGAGGTATCTTGAAAGACACAAGAGCATTCACACGGGAGAGAAGCCGTATTACTGCTCACAGTGTGGGAAGAGTTTTAATCGACAGAGTCATCTCCAAACACACGAGCGCATTCACACGGGAGAGAAACCGTATCACTGCTCACAGTGTGGGAAGAGCTTTAATCAGCAGAATGATCTCCAAAGACACCAGCGCATTCACACAGGAGAGAAGCCGTATCAGTGCTCAGAATGTGGGAAGAGCTTTATTCAACAGAGTGATCTTCAAAAACATCAGCGTGTTCACACAGGAGAGAAGCCGTATCACTGCTCACAGTGTGGACAGAGATTCACTTCT